TATATATATATATATATATATAGATATATAGATATATATATATTATGCATATATATAAGATGGCATGCATGTAAAAATTGAAGTGTAGGTGTTACATATGTAAATACATAAAAGTTGAGTGGTATTTTATGTAAATTTTCAAAAAGAATAAAATTTTGGAATAGAATAACACCATTTTTTTGGAAAGAAATAGAATAGCCCACCTGATATCTGAACTGATTTGAATTTAATAAATAATTTTGTGTTTTTATTTATTAATAAAAATTGTTATCAATTATTTTTGATTTAATACTTATTAAAGTATGTTATAAATATATTGAAAATATTTTCTTGTGTTATATTTATTTTCTAATAAATCAAATTAATTTTGAATATTTAAATAGAGTATGTAATTTTTATTTTAAGCTGATTAAAATTTTAGACTAAATTATCCGTTGTATTTTTATTATTTAAGATTCAAAAAAGGGAAAATTAATAATATAATCATTTATTAATTCCTTTAATATTTAAAAAAAGAACACATTTGTGTATATTTACATTTATATATTCTTTTGTCTGCTCTTTTTTTTTTCAAAATTTTTAACTTCAAATAAAAGAAAAAGTAAGACGGTCATTATCAATTTCAAGCTTCCAACTATTTTTAGAAGTACTAATTTGTGCTCTCACTAAACAAAATATTCTTGCTCCCTCCTTCACTTGATCTTCCCATATCGTTTGATGACATTCATTTACACATGTACTAAAATTCCATATTGTACATCCATTTTATTTTCTTATATTTCTTATCTTTCTTATATTTTTAAATGTTTTATTTTTATTTTTTTAAAGTAACAGTCTAGAAATGCTTTTGGCTATAAAAAAATGTGAATTTATGAATTTATTTGACTTTTTTTTAATCATATGATGGCTTGGACCTCTTTGGTCGCTTTACTACTTGCTTTAATATTAATTTTAAGTGACTATTTAATAAAAATAATATTCAGTACTTTTAATGTGTCATTAAGAGGTTCTTTTTTTCTTAATTCCAACAAATTAATTATTGTGGTATCCAATTTAACTTTTTGATAGATTTTTTTTTTCTATAAATACCAAAAATAGTATTCGTTATCAGCATTGTTTTTCTGATCTTATATTCTTACTGTGCTCTCCATAATTTTCTGATACAATAATTAAATTTGATACCTCTATAATCACTATCATTTTGACAGTCTCCATTATTGTTGAATACTTCATAAAATTTGTCAAATTATTGGAAGTTTGACAAGTAGGGTTTCATGAAAAAGATTTTTAAATAATTACACAAGTGTCTTCCCAAATTCGCTAAATTCGAAATGTTCTGCATTTAGATTCAGAGGATTTTTGTTGCAGTTGTTGTTGTTGTTGTTGTTGTTGTTGTTGTTGTTAATAATAATAATATTATTATTTTATTACTATTTATATAAAGGAGTGTTTGTGCTGTTATTAGGAAAATTTTCATTTTCTTCAGAAAAAAAATGTTAAAATGTTGGTTTTTATGGCACGAACATCAGTGTTATAGTTTATTTACCTTATTTATGTAACCTTATGCAGAAGGCAAGTGCAAACGCCTGCAAGGCCTGCAAGAGCTCTTACCAGTCTAACACGTGTTGTTAGAAGAGGTAGATCTACTTATTTTTGTACTAAAGTGGAGTAAATTAAATTAAAATCTCGATAACTTATTGGTTGATTATGGATCTGCAATCATTTACAATCATTGTTTTATGGTTTTCAATTTTTGTCTAATACCTTCATTTTACTGAATTCCTGGCATCCAGATACTTGGAAAAATTCTAGCAGGATATTCTGATACTTGTATCATAATGGGGGCTAATTTTTTCTCAAATCTAATAAAATCATCAAATATTATAATTAAATTTTAAAAAAATATAGTTAGATTACCACAGATTCACAAGTATAATCATGATAGAAAAATGGTATAAGAGAAAATTCCTGAAATAAATTTTCTTAATGCCTATTAGATTGAATGGAATTTTATGAATTTTTTTTAAAGTTTATTCAGCAAAAAGACATGCAGTTATACCATTAAACATATATAAGTACAAGCATGATTAGGAAAACATATGAGAATCAGCAAAACTACATGAAATCATTTGAGAGTTGGCCATCACATGATTCCAGGTTCATAATGAAATTAGCCCTATTTTTAATACAAAAAAAAAAAAAAAAAAAAAAAAAAAACACGATATCCTGTGCTCCATCGCTCACTCTTTCTCCGCATAATTTTTTCTCTGACAGGCGGAGAAAGCCCTGGTGTTGATGCCAATGGAAACTCTTACGATTTCACAACGAAGCTACTCCATCTAGCTTGGCATCCAACTGAGAATTCAATTGCCTGTGCTGCCGCTAACAGTTTGTACATGTATTATGCGTAGGGTGGATCTGCAACAACAATTTACATTCAGCCAGAATTTTTTTTGTTGGGAAACAAAGTTATTTTGCTTCATGTAGCTGCAAGAGCTGCAGGAGGCTTCCTTTTGTCTTTAAAAGTTCATGCATAAAGGGGTGACCGCCGGTCGAGGCTGCCAGAATCTATGTGGAAGTTTAACTGTATCTTGTTCCCGGGACGACGGCTTCATTCTAATTATTTGTTTTCTGATTTCTGTTTACAAAGTTAAGAGAGAGGGAGAGAGAAAGGTCCAAGAAAAGAACCAAAATACTTATTATGTTTCTTCTTTTAGGGGTTTTCAAGCTCAGGAAGCTCACCTGACTCTGATGTGCTGTGAAGGGAGATGTGTATTTTGTTAGGAAGTTGACCTTTTGAAATTTCTGGGTTTGGTCATCATTATTATATTTCATACCTTCAGTTTAAAACTGTTTGATCAAACAAACCTTAGTGCATCTTTTATTCCTTGAATAATTCTGAATTTAGATTGCTAATTTGGAGATGTGTATGGTATTTTTTATCCATTCTGTTCAATCTGCTGTAGCAAATTTGCAGGTAGATAGAATTATCTACATAAGCTTTTGCATTAGTGAGAAAAATATTCTCTGATAGATCAAATTAGAAAATGGAAGGCATCAATAGCCTCAATTTTTTTTTAAGAATTTTGTTTGGATTAATATTTTTAAAATAATTATTTAATGCTTTTTTATATAATATATATATTTTTTATTTTTAAAAATAAATTAAATTTTTAATAAATATTCATAATAGTTTAACACGTTTTAAGTAATTTTTTAAATGAAAAATTTACGTTTGCACCACTCAATTCAGATGTATTTACATATCTAACATTTAAACTTCAATTTTTTTGTCATCTTATCTATGCATTGAAACGACATTTCTTAAAAAAAGTTAAAATTGCGGTGAAAGATTTGGATGGTTCGAAGTAAAACAAAATATAATTTAGGTGTAATATATGTAAACACATGAATTGGGAGGTATTATGTATGTAAGTGCCGCTTGTAAAATTAAAGAATAATAGTCACAGCAAGCCCTTGAACCCTTCAGAGCAATATCCTGTATAATTAAAAAGTTGCATTTGTAATTTTAAACACTAACTAGTTTTGCCAGAAAACAGAACTGTATAACTACAGGGGCCATAGATTTTTTAAAAATTATTTTCTGGCAAAATTAATTGGTTCTATTTTTTTATAATTCATTTTATTATATTTAGCTCGCGAAAAAATCAAATAATATCACGGTTTTCTTGTTGCATTATATGCATAAAGGAGTGTGAGTTAAGCTGACTCGATAAGTGGCTCGTGAATTGAGTTCGATGAGCTAACAAGGCAAACTCAAGCTAGCCTCGATACTCAAATATATATAAATATATATAATAAATATAAAAACTTTATCTTTAAAGTATTAAAAATATTTTAAAAATAATATTTTGTATGTTATCTTAAGTGCATTTTTATTATTCTCTCATAAGTTTTTATTCTATTTATCATTTTATTATAACAATATCTTAGATTAAAAAAAAATCATTTATAACACTATCTTAGCAATGTAATTATAGGATCTCAAGCCTCGAATGCGAAAAGTAGAGGATTGCATTAGATAGTGGACAGTAGCATAAAATTTCTATAAAAAAATCATGACATGAATCTTTTAAATCCTTATATAAATGTTAGGGTGTCCATTGCAAGCGACACATATGGTTTGAATGCAGTAAAAAGTGTGTAAGGGCCGCATCGACGCTTAGATGTACTATTTAATAACGGTTTCACCTTATGAACGGCTATTGCCAAAAATGTTAGTCCATCAAACTATTATTAGGATAAGATTTTTGAAAACATATACTCTCATGGGTAAATTCATAGAATTAGTAGTATGGTTCATGGGAAGATAAATATCTTGTTCATTCAAGAAACTAGATGGGTTGGAGAAAAGACTAATAAGATTGATAGCTTAAGTTTTAAACATTGGAATTCAAGTAGGAGTCTGTCGCCACTAAAAATTTGGTTAGGAGATTGAAGTTGTTGGTCACTAGAATGAGTTTCCCAATGCTTGGTTTAATTTAATTTAAATACAATATAATTTGGAAAAAGTATTATTTTAAATTTTAAAAATACAAGACTGAACCAATCTCATAACCTCAATATTTTAAATAAACGAGCCTTTCACCTCAAGCAATGCATTCATCTTGAATAATAGATGTGTTATTTACTGGTGAAAGCTCAGTTAAATAAACTAAATATTGTATGACATCCGTTTAAGTCTGGGAAACCATATTTTTTGTTGACCGACAAGTTCCCCTATTAATACAAAAAATTAAATAGGATTTATATTAAGCTGGGTTTTTGAAAGTTTTCTAAAAAGACAAGCCTTTATAGTTAATTACATCTTAGATAATTGAAGTCACCTAAGAAAACTCTCGATAAAAAATCATAGGATATTGTTTTCAAGAATTTCAAAGGATAGGACTTTTCAAAGAGATCGGACAAAGAGGTGTGAAAGGGGAGTGACTCAAATTTGAAACATTTTTTTTTGGAATTTAAAAGAAGAAAAACTAGGGGATGTCACAAATCTTGTGGAGAACCTCGGCGACTTCCCAAGCTATTCTATGGTTTGGCTTTAATTTCGAGAAGAAGAATTATTTAAAGGTTATATGTTGCCAATTTTATTAAGGGGATACATTCGTGTGAAACGATCATACAAATATCTTAGAAAATATGAGGATTTAGGTCATGACGAACGACAACCTTGAAATCCTAAAACGAGTTAGGGCTTATATTGTATAGCAGAGCCATACAAAGGCCTACAGATGAAGTGAAGTTTTATGTCGCACTAGGCAGACAACCTTGAAATCTCATGGCTTGTTGTTTAATTCTAGGAAAAGATATGGTGTGTAGACCCTTTTGTTGTTGTAGATCATCGTGTTGTTGCAGATTGCTGTTATAGAAAAATGTGCACAGAGTTAGCTCCAAGCTCCTCATCGTAGCGAGTTTAAGTTTTCTAATTTGTCTAGTCGTGATGTCAAATCAAATATTTCCTAAGGTTATGATTATTTAAATATTATAGGGGATGTTAAAATTGATTAGAGCGACATTGGTTAGGATCGCACGGTTCCCTCTTTTTGGCACCACTTTTTTCTCCGGATTCACTCAGTCCAAATGATATTACTAAACTCAACTCAATGAGTTCCAAACCTTTATTTAGACCATGGGAAATCTCGTTAGCACCATAGGTTACCTCCTCCGGGGGATTCTCAATCATCCGATAGAGACATTTTAATTTAGTTGCAATTTTAGCTTTATTTTGTTTGTGATTAAATTTTGAGTTGTCTTATATTTTGACTGTTGTGTCGATGAATTTTATGTTGTTTTGATTTCTTAATTTTGGTTTTTTTTTTCAGTTTTGTGGCTATCTTAAAAGTTTCAGTTTTGACATGCAGGGAGACCTTGTTGTTGAGCATGCAAATTTATAAAAGTAAATTGCAATGCAATAACTTAAAAGTGTACCTGTCAATTCTTGTCGTTCCTCCACTTGAAAGGTCAGTACTTGTAAGACATATATATATATATATATATATTCCAGAAGTTAAAACATGTTTGTAGGAAAACAAAGATTCCAGATTTGAGGTATGTTTACTAGATCCTATGTCATAGCTTGGCGGGTCTAATTTGTTCATCTCTGAGGATGATTCCATTAAGCAAATCAAAATATGTCCAAGTGTCCTCTGAGATTCCCAAAGGAGCATGAAAAGGTCCTGGGTGATACCATAGACATTTCACAGACCCTCGAATCGTCACGAGTTCATTTTGGTCTTATTATGTTTGCTCTATGGTTCACCCAATTCATACCCTTATGCTCAGTGATCCCTGATGTTTTGATTATCTCTTTAAGTAGGGTAATTATCACTTGATGTTTCACTTACGAATTATACGGGTAAAGACCCTCAGGGGTAATATAGTTTAATTAAGGGACTTAGTCGGTTTGATTTTTAAAGGTGGGCTTGTAGTGTTTTAAATAGTTTCAATTTAATTATAGGTCATTTTCTAAACCTCATTATACATGATTTTAATTAAGCCCAGTTCACTACTAAGCCCGTAAAACTTAATTGGTAGATTTGTAATTTTTTAGAAAAATTTCAAATGTTTATACTCTTAATCCTTATCAGGAATCACACATCATTTTAGAACCATTAGTTGGAGTTTTATGTTAGTGGAATATAATCTTTCAAAGTCAAACCCCCTCACCTTAATATCTTCTTATTTAATTACTCTTCCAAATTTCATCAATTTGAGAAATTATAAATTTAAATGAGAAATTATAAATTTATCCTTAATGGGACCAAAGTGAGATTGGTTGCTACCATTTATCCCTTTCATGCTTCAATCATCAAGACTTGTCGATTAAGCTCATTCATTACCTATTTACCCTTTGGTTAGGCCTAAATATTAATTAAGACTTAAATTCCAAAATTACCCTTTTGCCCTTAAGGCCTTAACACCTCATAATTCATTAAATAAAACTCAAATGACTTTAAATTTTTTATGTTACCCAACTCATGGGTTAATTAAAACATAAGAGGAGAAAATGTGATTTTTCTGAATTTATTTAATTTTATAATAATTTTTAATGGAAAATAGAGATTTTTAATGAAAATTCAATAATTCAACTAAAACAAAACTTTTGTCGTTAAGAAAATTACTGGAGATTCACCTAGGTCAGTGGATCATTTGCAATTTTCATGACTTTTAGAGGTTTAATTTAATTACCATGGAAGTAACGAAAAGTAGTATTAGTAAGTTATTTTATTTTATTTTAAAGATAAAAAATATATTAAAACAAGAAAAAGAGTGTTTGTAGTTTAGTCTTGAACATCTTCTTATTTCAGTGTGATTGCTTATTTTTAATTACTTGCTTTGTTTGTTTGTGCGTAGTGTAAGATAAAAAAATTTAGTACCTTATGATTCTGAGTTAGAGAAAACTATTAGAAAATTTTGAAAACAACAAAAAGAAATAGATCAGTTGAGCAAAATGACTTGCAATTTAAACAATACTGAAAATGAAAATGAACATCATCAGGGACCTTTAAGTGATTATGCTAATCCTACAGCAGATGAAATTTTTTTTAGTATACAAAACCCTGTTGTAGCTGCCAATTCATTTGAGCTTAAACCTATTATTATCCAAATAATACAAAATAATCAGTTTGGAGGAACACTAACTGAAGATCCTAATTTACATCTTACTAGTTTTCTAGAATTGTGTGCTACATTTAATTATGATAGAATGTCAAATGACGTTGTCATACTTAGAATTTTCCTTTTTCTTTAAAGGACGGGGAGATTTGTCACAAAAATTCTTACCAAAATATTTTCCACCATAAAAAAATGCTAAGTTTAGAAATTATATCACATCTTTTTGTTAGTTTGAAGGGGAATCAATTTATGAAGCATAGGAAA